TTGTTCTAGGATGCCCTGATTATTAGGCTTTCTCCAAAATGGATTAGGGGACTTGCTCCCTCTGTATAAAACAGAGAGGGCAAAGAAAGTTATGGGGGACCAGAGAACAAAAAAGTGAGAGGAGATCTGGTCCCATGATTAAACAAAGCCTTGTGCAAGAATCATAGAATGTTATGAGTTAGAAGGGACCCACAGGCTCACTAAAGTCCCACTCCTGGTCCTGCTCTGAACAGCCCCACAAGTCACACCATGTGCCTGAGCTTTTCCACTAAATGGTTCTTATGGTTTATGTTAGGTCTGAGTGCTCCTGCCAGGCTGCTCATTTAAGAAAATTTAGACCCATAGTCTGTGAAGGGCGCTTTTCCTGAGCATGCTCTGTGTTTAAGATACTCACATGTTTCTTGTGCTTTCTTCAGTGTCAAAAAGATTGTTCAGTGAGAAGAAGGTGTGTGAGTTCATGCTTCATTTCCTAAATTCTTTCTTAGATGGTAGCTGACGCAATAATGGCAAGTTTGGTGAAGCTGTCACCTGAATTCGGATCTCAGCTGGAGCACCTGCAAATACTGAGTACCTGCAATTGAATATATCAGCCAGGTCTGCAGAGCTTCAGAGGCTCTGGGCCTGGAGCTCTCCTCTGCAGGAGGCTCTGAGCACAGCCAGGCTGGTGTGCCCAGTGCCAGACCAGCTGCACACCACCACTGCAGGCCAGGAGACCTCCCTGTAGACCTCTGCCTTGTGACATGGTTTTGTATGCCCAGGAAGGACATTTCCAACAGAGACTTTGATCAATTTTTCTTGCTTTGTTTATTAGTATTTCCAGGCCAACTTCACAGACTCTTAAATTGAGAATAGTTTTGGTTATAAGGAGAATGTTTGGGGATGTTTCTTTTACATTACCAGCCGGGTTTAACCCTCTAGATGATGCTGACTACAGAAGGGTACTCTGTTCTTGTGCACACATGTGTAGACTGGAAGTGATGGCTGTTCAGTAAAAAACAGGAAATGCAATGCTAAATAATAGTGGCATTGAGCTGGGAGACAAGGTAGCAACTTTGTCTTTAGCATTGATCTGTTTCTACATGCTAACTTTGGCTTTGATCACTAAGGAGGATAATTAATACTGGTGATAATAGGAAAACTCTTCTGGATTTCTGGCAATGACTGTGACTCATCTGATTTAAATAGAAAGTAGAAATGTGACTTCTGGCTGGGCAACAGGTTGGTTGGCGAGCAAATTCAGGGTAAGAAACACCTGTGTTCCAGACATGAACAGTCTTGTGTCTCCTCAGTAAAGCCATCTGTGCCACAGGTTGCTTGCCAGATTTTTCTGCAGAAGGAGTTGATCTATTAGAAAGATGATTCCACAGTTCGGCGTGGATATGTGCCACTTGCAGACAATCCACGCAGGAAAGATAATGCTGCCCATTCAGTGGCAGCATCTGTTCTTTGGCACACACTTTGAATATGATCACTGCTAGTGACTCACTGCTGAAATATTGGAAGCACCATCGTGATTTAAATAGCGTTTAAATTGCAGGGTGTTTTTGTGTGCTTTCTGCTGTTTCACAGCAGCAGGTGAGCGCCACCAATACCTCCATTCTGCTAAGGGTAAGCTGAGGTATAACCACAGTCTGTATTGATTTCCTGCCCATGTCTCTGTGTTGTACCCATGCCAAAGACACAAGTAATAAAGAAGAAGTAGGAATCCTGGTTTGGTACATTTTCCATTAGAATGGTGGTGTTTTCCTAATGATGCAATATAGATGGCACAGTTACCTAATAAATGTAGAGAATTTTGGTGTTGTGAGGTCCCCAGGATGAGGTGAGAGATGAGAATTTGACTCCATGTTCTCAGAAGGCTGATTGATTATTTTATGACACTATATTATATTAAAAGAAATTATATACTAAAACTATGCTAAAGAAAGAGAGAGGGTACATCAGAAGGCTAAATAAGAATGATAATGAATGCTTGTGGCTGACTCCTCAGAGTCCAACACAGCTGATGGTGATTGGTCATTAATTAAAAACAATTCACATGAAACCAATCAAAGATGCACCTGTTGGTAAACAATCTCCAGACCACATTCCCAAGTAATCAGATAATTATTGTTTTCATTCTTTTTTGAGGCCTCTCAGCTTCTCAGGAGAAAATCCTGGGCAAAGAGGATTTTTCAGAAAATATCATGGTGACAGAGAATAATACTGAATCTCTTTTGTCCCATCATTTAGTGAAGAATCAATAAAATGGTTTCATTGTTTATATGCAGATCTTCATGGCAAAGAAGACCATTTGATCCTATAATCTGACTTCTGGGTCAATGCAGAATATGCAGAATATCAGTCAATAACTCCAGTGTGTTTATAAACTCAGATCAAATGACATTATGTCCTTGTTTTAAACAAGGACCAATGAAACTTTGTTTGGAAGTTCCTGCTCACCTGTTCTGGTGCCAGAAATATATGGATTTATGGGACAGATTTTAAGTCTTTATAAAGGCATTCATAGGCCGAGTAAATTTTCTTCCTGGTATTTTGACAGCATATTTAGATCCCATCTACATATATATGCTCCTTGTGATTTTGACTCATACTGACTTATGATTTTAACTTCAACTGGTCAGTTTTACCCATCATATGATTTAATTAGTCTGGATCCTCAGTAATCCTCAGAGTGTGTGAGCCTCAGGAAGTTTAGAATGAAGGGGTTAAAGTAGAAAGAATTTCTTTTATCATTTGCATAAAACTAGACATATTTGTAGCACTTCAAATAATCTTGTTGGTATTTAAAGTGCCAAAAATTTCTAACATCTCTGATTAGATTGAATCTAATTTTCCTGATTTAGATATTAAATAGAAGCTGCAATTAGTATCTGATTCTCTTATGGAACTTTATTTTTAGGGCATGCATGTATTTTATTCACAGTTAAACTATTGTAGAAGTGTTTAGTAATACTGATATTTTGGCAGTGTCTAGAGAGTGAAGTTTTGGTGATGAATGTCTAACATAATAGCTTAAATGCCTAAAATACCATTTCTTTCCAGTTCATGGTATTTTGGAGCTCTAGACAGGAGACCCAGCTTGGTGATTGTGATGGACTTCCAGGACTAACCCTGTTGAGTTACTCTTGAGCACTGTTTGATTACAAGCTGCTGTATGTCTATTTCTTCATAATTTGAAGCATCTCTGTAAACTGGGGCTGGAGGAGAATATTAGCATATTCTGTAATATCCTCTAGTTAGTTGATGCCTGCTGGATGTAGGCAGGGCATTTTTTCTCCTGTGCAGACTGAACGTTGTTTTCCTAATACTGCTGTTTGTGGCACCCCCCAAGAGCAGGGGGCAGGGGAAGTTGGTAGGTCAGGACAAAAGTCTGAGTAGCCAAGCTGTTGTGAAAGTCTAATTGGAAGCTTTCTCAACTATAAGATGTCTCATGCAGACACATAAGAAGCCTGTAGCTTCAGGTCTGACCATTCCCCTGGAAAATGAGTGACTGAGACAAGAAAATTCTGAGGAATTCCCTCAGAGGCTGGATCTAGGACTATGCATCAAAGGGAGACTAGATTGAGTATTCTAATGGGAGAAATATTTTCTGGTGGATTTTAACCACAAATGCCCTCCTAAACCTGAGGAACCTTTATTTTTTTTTGAAGAAATGTTTGAAGAAAGAAATTTCTACAGAAATTTCTGTTTATGTGGCATTGCTGATTTCCTTCCTTTTGCTCTTTTCCCTTTCTCATAGTGTGTGTTTCAGCTGGTGTGTGTTGTGTTGACTGCAGGGCTGCTTCTTTCTCCCCCAGCTGAGAGCAGTTGGGTGTGTGGGAGGCTTGCATGCCAGGAGGGGAGGAAGGATGTCCTGCTCAGTGTCCTCTGGGACAGCAGGTCAGAGTGACTGCTGGAGGGGACAGTCACCTTGGGCAGCTGCTGGCTTAGCTCCTGAAAACAGCCTGACCATCTGCAGTGGTGACTAGGGGTCAGATAGTGAGGGCTTAGTGAGGCTGAAGGGATTTTCCTGAGGTCCAGGAGGCCCTGATCTGACTTGCGAAGTCATTGAATGGTTTTAATTTTTAAGCCTAAACATTGGAGTTTTAGTTAAAGCCATCCAAAAGAGAAAGGGAAAGAAAAAGTCAAGCATGCTTGTGGAACAGTGCTGGAAAAAGCCCTTCCAAAGTCTTGGGCCAGCTAGAGGCAGCATAACAATGTGAAGAGTACCCAGACATTTCAGGTTGGTAGACTATAAATATGTTACAAGCCAGGTAGTAAACTCAGTCAGCATTTTGCTGATCAAGTCTTCCTTTCTAAGTCACTCTTAAAGATGGGTTTACCCAGAGTGAGCCAGAAAGCTCTACAGGAGCAGTTTGCTGGGGAAAATTTACTAAACTCAGCCAGTTGTATGAGATAAGACCAGGCAGTATCATTGCAACAACTGTATATGTGGCTTTTCTTTTGTTTTTGAAGAAAATAAATAGTTGTGAAGTTAAGAACAACATTAAGAGTTTTTTATGAGTGAACTGCCCAAGCTTCACTTGGGTACATCAAGCTACATAGCATGGATAACATAGTTTTGAGTTTCACAAAAGAAAACAATCTCCTTCCTGCCTTTCTTATCCTCAGTTGTCCTCCAACAACCCTTGCCTGAAGGAAGAATTGTGTGATGGTCACCATGGTCTCATTGCCCTATATGGATTTTAGTGTGAAAGTCCTTTAAGAAATATTAGGAACAAGTGTGATGGTTGAATGGCCAAATTAGGAAAATTTCCGAAAGTGTTTGTAGGCTGTTTTGGACAGTAGCTGTTGTGTGGCCATTCTTTCTCTGTCTTAGTGCTTTAGGAACTGCAATGAGCATAGCTCAGGAAGAGGTCTAATGAATATTAATGGAAAGCCTTTTGGGGTCTACCTGATCTACCTGACATAAAGTTTCTATGAGATAAATGGAACAGTTACTTGTGCCTTTTTGCCACTTACCAATTAACATCTTGTTTGCCTTCTGCTTTTTCTAGATATCCGTGGAATACAAGAATTTTTAGACAAAGTATCTCAACAGGGAATGGATGTAGCATTACAGAAGGTAGAAAACAACATCAATAAAATGATCACAGGGCTCTTTGCCTCTATGAGAATAGAAGAACTGAACCGCTACCGGGATACCCTGAGACGGGCCATTCTCATCATGAACCCTTCCACAGCCAAATCATTCCTGACAGAGGTATGTCTTTTAATGACAGGTTAGCTTCTTGTTTTGCTGACCAAGATCACAGTGACCTGTCAAAAAGTATAGTTTATTTGACTTCATAATGGTAATAAAAATAAAGTCAGGTAAGCCCCCTCAAGTAAAAGTTTAAATATTCTCTTTTCAAAGATCAGCATGCAAGGGTGTTTACTCATGTTCCTAAATGTGCATGTACATTTAAAGAGAGAACAAATAAAACCTCATCTCGCATGAGCAAAAGCATTTAGGAACTATACAGAAGAATTACCCCTCAGACTTCTGTTTGAAGCTCAAAGGTATTGTATTGCCATTGTGACCCACACTACTGAAATATTTACAATTGAAAGTTTTAGTATTTAGAGAAATACATATATTATATGTGTATTTGTGGATAAAATGTGTTTATCTAATAGAAATTCTGTTCTTTTACATAAAATGATGTTGATGTTGTTGTCTTTTGTGCCACTGAATAGTAGTGAAGTAGTGGAATATATGGAAAATTTGATTTGCATGAAGAATTTGAGGTGATAGTCTAAAGTCATGGTTTCAAGTAATATGGACCAGATTTTCAAAAGGTTCTTTGGGATTTAGAGACAAAAGACCTGCACATTGCATTTGACCATAAGTTGTGCAATCTTTTTAAATGAGTGGCATGGTTCTTTTTACATGGCACTGTGCTGCGTTTCAAATGTGGTTTTGCATGCGTGTATATTCTTCATTATCAACCAGAGCTTAAAAATCTGTTTTGTTCCATGGAAATACACTTTCTCTCTTCAATAACTTATCTAACTTGCATTACTTTTCTTCTGTACTTAGCTATTACCTTGGTCTTGAGAAATTCAAGCTTAAAACCTACTTCTGCATAAAAAGTACTGTGTATCCAGTCTCAAGTGAATGCCTTTTAGAAACATTAGCTAGAAGTTGGCTTTCTTGGTTTTTTCAAAGTTTTGTTTGCCCTTCGTTTGTTTTGGCTGGGTGTTTCACTGTCCTCATTACACACTCGAAGCTTGCTAATTCTGAGTAATGAGGGTCTGCTGCTCTATCTAAGTGTGTGTAGTGTTTCATAAGGTTTAAACAATTTGTAGGCATATTTAGATTGTTCTGCAGAGTTTTCATCACTCATTTCACAAGTGTTTTATTTTTTGATAAGATGCATGATCAGATATTTAACATTGCAACTTGAAAGAAGAATGGTTAGGGGCTCAAACTACTATAACTCAGCAAAACAAAACTCCTGCTTTGTTCTTACAGAGAAACACTTTTTTTAAAAAAAGATAGATTTTATCTATTTTTTTACATACTTGGGCATAGTAACAAAGTCATTGTCATCTTTTGAAGGTGTTGCCAAGTAAAAAATTTACTTTAGACTTCTTACTTTGGCATTGGCCACTCAAGACTTCAAAAACCAAAAGACCAGTAAAAAAACAACAAAACCAAATCCTTAATGTGCCTCCCACCAAAACAATTCCTGTATTAAACACCAAAAAATCCTAAAAAACAAGACACTCATAATGTTTCTCCTTTTGTGGTGTCTGTAAGTCTACCAGGGAAGATAATTTTCTTCTTCTGCAACTGTGGTTCAAAGACTCTCACATCAGCTCCATATTGCAGGCTTTTTCCAGGATAACAGCATTTATTTGGAGTATAATATGTGACTGGTAAATTTACAGGAGCCTCTTAATAAGAAGGGTTACTCAAATAGAAATGTGATTATTGCCATAGCTTATTTATGTTAGTGAGAGGAAATGAACTAAACAAGTGAGCTCCAACGCAAGGTCTTTGCAAAAGAAGTTTGCAGGGGTTGCCTTTCCAATGGATATTAAAAACTGTTATTTTGAGTCAAACCAGCAGCTGTTCTATAGGGGCAAAGAAATTATAAACCTCTATGGACTGCCTGTGGGCAAAGATATTCCCAAACAATTTAATGATCTTGCTGTTTCCAAAACCTGTGCCATGTGCATGGTCAGTTTAGGTGGGAAATTCAGCATAACCTAGTGGATTTAGCTTGTAAACCTTGTGATTATAATAAGAACAAACTGCGTATGCAGAAAAGCCCTTTGGGCTTTTTCTGCCCAGTAGAAGTTTTTGGCTGCCTTGCTGGATTCAGCTGTCTGCTTCTCTCCCCAGACCTCGCATAATCTCTGCTGCTTGGTCCCTTCTTAGATGACTGCTCTGGCTGAACCCTGTCATTGTTTAGCTGAGAAGAGGGTTCATTCACTCTGCAACAGCTGTAGTAAGCGTGGTCTTGATTACTATGCAAGTAACAACTATTGCAGAGTAAATAGTCAGACACTGGCCTGTGTAAATAAGCAGTCTGTAAACTGGAGTTTGCTTGTGTAGGATTTATCTTTGTTCAGACTCTTTGAAATTCACTGTTTGAAATATTTTTCTTCTTTCTTTTATTTTTTTTTTAAAGCAGTATTGCTTTTTATGTTAGGCACTTCTTTCTCTCCACCTCTTCCATCTCTAGAGCTTGTAGAGAAGAGATCTGTACTTATACTCTTAATAAAATAGAGATTAAGAAGTAAGTACACTTCTCTGGCTGTGGAAATGAAAGCCTACCTTCTCTTTAAACACTATGTATTAATTTGCCCTCCATACAGCATGGAAAGGCAGGAAACTCTGGGAGCAAGTATCACAGCATTCCTCCTTTCTGGCTAAGGGATTAATGTGAAGTGAGAGGGAGGGGCCAGCTGAATTCCCAAATATCCTTTGTTGCTTTGAGCTGGAGATGGAGGAGCAGAGGGAAAAAAAAATCTTCTGGAAGAGTGAAATTCACTGGGGCTAAGGAGTGCACAGGTTTGGAGCCAGCAGAGACTGACAGCTCTCCACAGATGAGTTTGTGGCAACAGGAAAATACTTTGCCAGGGGTATACTGGTGACTTGTTCAGGTTTGTTTTTTTTCTGGTGCAATACTTCTCTACTCTCAAATAGCTGCCTAGGTCCCACAGGTGAAGCAAACTTTTCCCACTGAAACTTATGTGATTACTAAATATCCCACTGTCTTGCACAAAATTTGCTGTGCTATCTGATAGCACTGGTGATGGATGTGAACTGTGTGTCAGTTTTTTGCTTTACATTTTGGGGTGGGTTTTTTTTTTCTCATGTTCTTCTGATTTGCAATGAATATGATGGATAGGAAAAGCCATGTAAGGGAAAAATAAGATGTCCTTAGATTAGATGTCTTTGCCAGCTCATCATGACAACAGAAATTAAGGGGTTCAAAAGCCAAGTGTGAGGAGTCTGGGTAGGAGCAGGGTCAGGCCAGTAAAGTCAGGTGGCAACAGAGGTTCTGGGGATAATGAAGCAAGTTTGAGAAACAAGACTTTGGGAAGCCATTCTTTAGGACACACGCCAAATGTCCTCCACTGAGTCAAAATGCTGTCAGTACATCTCTGCTTTCAGATTTTTTTCTGTTTAGCTAAGGAAGCTACCTTATCACTTGAGTGCAGAAATTGAATGTGTTCTTCTCTGTCGGACTCCAGGAGCTAATAATGGGACTGCAAAGGAGGGACAATGCAGCTAATTCATTCATTTATTTATAGAGAAAAACTTCACACGTTGAAAATCCAGTAAGCCATGTGTGAAAGAGCCCTAGGATCAGCCAGGGATTTTGATGGAGCTTTGACAGGCAGGTTCTGGAAGGCCTGGGTGTAAGTGCTGAAGGAACTGCTGCCTCCAGCCTCTCCTCAAAGGAGGGATTGCCAGCCAAGAAACCTCAGCCAATGTGACTGTGCATCTTCCTGCCCCTTGCAAGGTCCCTTCTTATGCTTCTGTGGCAGGGGTTGGTGGTCTCATACAAAGAGAAGTGAGAACATTTTTTGGCTGTGCAAGCAGTTTATCTAGCAAAATTTTCAGAGCATTGGCAATGTGTAAAAGCCAAAAAGCTCTTTGAGGCTTGACAACCTCAAGCCATCAATGCAGTGAGCATTGACACTTCCCAGGTTGGAGAATACTTCTCCTCAACTCACTCTACACTGCATGGTTTGTGTAAATGAAAATATTTGCTATTTCTTATTGCGGAGGTTCCACTCTGCAGCACACTCGAAGTCATTGAACCCCATCATATCCAGACTTGAAGCATGCTGGAGATATTAGAACTGTTTACTGGTAAACATCTATTAAAAGTTAAACTCATCTGCGTGACAGAACTGGGTAATAATTATTGAAAAGATGTATTCAACAAAAATAGCTGCTGCCAAATCTTTGAGTTGCAGCAAATGTGTCCTGTATGTTGGCCTGTGTGTATGTATCATGTTTATTGCACTAACTTCTATAGGTAATGTTTTATTTATTTATATTTATTCCCAAAGAAAATTAAAATCATGTAGCTTTCGGTATTAGTATAATCTACTACTCATGATTTTGAAAATAAATTTCCTTTTTTTCTATCCCAGGCTAATGTGGGACAGTATTAAAATGAGATTACCTTGGATGAAAAGAAGCTACACTGCTACTTTCATGAATAAAAGAACTTTATAAATGAAATGGTAAAATATACATGGAAAATAGAATTAAGCCTATAAATTAAGTACTGAGGAGTTCTTGCCATGTTGTGGGCAAGTGGAAAAAAAAGGAAAGAGTGTTTAAGGAGCAAATGTAATTTAAATTGCCTCATGTAATTGAACTTTTGACGTGCTTTTACTCATCGTTACTGTGAATAGAATGAGAAGTAACATTTATTCTGTGGAATGAGATCATTCCTGATAGCAAAAGCCTTGATTTTTATTATATTTGATTGTTGTCTCTCTGTTGAAAATAACAGTTCTTCTAAAATGTAGTTATTTGAAAAAATACAGGGTTTTTTTCATGCAGTGACATAGTTGTTGTTTTACCGGATATTAGATCTGATCATGAAGCAAATTGTGAATCTTTGAGATCTGTAGACAGGGATTTGCTTTAGTGTTACATAGTGCTCTAACCAGGCTTATTTCTTTAATCAACTTATTTACTGAGAATTAGGAAAATTTATTCAACTTTTCTAACCAAAAGGTTGA